GATGTACAAATGCGCTTTACACAATTGATGTGTGTATGGATTGAGATACCAGTTGTATGAGCCCCTAATAAAATGTTAAAAAAGAAAAAAAAAAAAGTAACCCGGGTATATAGAGGGATCGGCACCGTGGCTGCCAGTGGAGTCAAGCGTAGGTCCCCTGGTGAGCATGGCGCCCGTCCGGGCCCCTGTGTTTCAGAACTGACTCGATGACACCTCATCACAGCAACCTGTGTGTCGGGGAAGTTCGAGCACTGTAGAAAACGACTAGGTCAGCATCTCCTTTGCTCCAAGCCTTGCAGTCCCACCCCCTCGGCAACCACTGCAGTCTTTCTTTCGCTGATATCCATGATCTGTGCATGTAAGGTTCACAGTGGGCTCTTCCTGTACAACACGCTTGCCCTTCTCCATGCATCTGCAGTCTTAAATGCCTTGTGAATCGGAACTGCCGTGATGGCGACGAGAAAGTCCTTGCAACCGCTAGCCTGTGCCTTGAACACAGTAACACGCAAATTCTCATCAGACGTCAACATCAGTGCGTATAGGTAGAGCTACTGTTTTCTTTCGAAGGACTTTATAGTGTGTATGGAACGGATCACTCTCTGGGTGAACGTCAGGCTCTTGTTTATTTATTTTTTAAATTCAGCAATCACTGCCTTGAGGAACGGCTTGGCACCACTGATTTTTTGCGTACTGGTCTGAGAAGTCTGTAGGAGAGCCGCACAGAAGAGCGATGGACAGGGAGAAGACCAAGCGTTTAAAACATGCCAAGCTGCCCTCCAGAGGGTTGCACCAGCCGTGCTCCTGACCACAGAGAATGAGTGTGCCTGTTGTCTCACGTCCGCCGTGGGTGTGCTCGTTGAAAGTGGCAGCCGTTGTTTGCGCTCATGTGGCTGACATTTGTGAGCGAGGGTTAGCACCGTTCCGTTTGGTCCCTGGGGTTCTCTTCTATGAGCTCTCTCCTCCTAGCCATTTCCCGTGTTTCTTTGGCGCTAGAGAGCATCGAATTGTAACTCTCTGTATACTAAACAACTCAAGTTTGCAGGAATTTTTTTTTTCAGTGCATAGATGCATATGTAGTGAAATTCTTTGCATCAGTGGCTGTTCATTACCACAAAGTATTTGTTCTTTCTCCTACAGTGGTCTGGCTGTGACACGGATAGGAAGTTTGATCATTTCTCATGCAGCAGTCTCTGACATAATATTAAGCCTGGGCTAAGGGATCCACGGTGGGATCAGTGAGTCATGGCTTTCCTGGTGCGTTTGCACCACTCAGGTCTAACCCGAGGACCCGAGGAACCTGAAGAATTGCATTCATCACCTCGTTTTAATATTTCACCCTCATGAGGAGGATGTAGCATGTTAACTGTTGGCAAGCATTTTGAGGTCAGAGCATCAGAAATTCCTGCAAGTTTACTTTGGAATTGGTAACCTCTTCTCCTCATGGGGTGAGCCCATTCATAATAGGCCACAGCTGTCCTCTCAGTACATGCGTGCATGTAAACTCTAGCTGCCCCCCATCAACAGTGGGCAAGCCCAGGGAACCCCAGTGTTTACTCATGACTCACTTCACCCAGCTTTTATTTGCTATTTTCTTTTCATTCTTCTTTTATGTGTTTGCTTCATTTTATTCTTCAATCCTAGTGGATAGACATTTTTGGATTTTTAAGATACTAACTGGATGGCAGTTGTTTGATAACAGAATCAGTAGAGTCTACATTTTGTGAGGTGTAACTGAAAGAAGAGTTAACAATGTATTTTGTTTTCCGAATACAAAATACATTGTTAACTCTCATCACGCGGTCTCTTGCAAAGTGGATAGCTGCACACGCAGTTAGGCTAAAGATGAACACCTTATCATTTGATTTCTCTTCAGATCAATTCTTAATTTGTTCTAGTTTTAATATTTTCTACTTTCTTTTCTCTGTTTTACATTGTTATTGGTGTTAGTTTTTTTCAGGGGGCGGGTTATGTTTTTCTAGATATGAAATCCAGGATAGGTAAATCCATAGAGGCGTTAACTTGGGGGAATGGCAGGGGAGGTTGGGGCGTGTGGGGGGATGGAGAGCTAACAATAGTGAACACAAGAAAGAAGAAAATGTTCTAACATTGATTATGGTGATGA